GGTTGGTCATTCAAAATACAAGCTTGACGCTATTGTCCTGTACAGTATGTAAACTAGGGGACGGTAGTGTGTACTGTACTGGACACCATTTGACAGCAAACAATAGACAACACTGGCCGAGGGTCGATCGATCAGACAGCCCCGGTCTGCGTACTGTACAGTATGATTACTGTAAACTGTCGAAAACAATTAGCCATGATAGATAACATTGTCATTTGTTCAGTAATCTAATCCATTTTTCTCTTCCAATCTAGTACGCCACGATTTGCTTGCAAGCTGCAAATTAATGATTGTCTGACATACTGTGTTGATATCAGGAACAATTGTCGGTTCTACTCGTTGGTATCCTTCTATTTGGCTCTCCTGTCTTGCTTGATGAGGAAAATGGGCTTTTTTTGCCTCGGTGGTGGCAAACGTACTGTCAACGTTAGAATAATAATGCTCGATGCAACGGATATTACTCATGAATTTAGCGTAAGTGGTCTACCATCGTCTATCAATGTCCAACGGACTATTTTTGTACACAATAATAAATAAATAAAGAGGTACAACCATTTCAATAGTCAATCCAATTACTTTACTCTCCTACATTACAATCATCAGTACGATGCAAATCGTTCGAGCTTTATCGTGCTCAAATTAACTCCTATAGCCATTACAAAATACCCCCAAAATGATAGTCATAATGTTGAGACACACCAACACACATTGATCACATCAGACATGGCTAGACGCGTAGTAACCATTTCCAATCACTGTCTCGTCCAGTAGTGGTACAAGCAGCTGCAATGGATGTACTCTACTACGTTTCAAGTTATTTAGGCTTCCACTTGGCCAATTCCATTGCTGTGCAGTTCAAAAAATTACAGCCAAACACTTTCTACTTCTCATCACTTTTCAATCTCAGCGTAGTAATCCCCCCCCCCCCCGTTGGGCTTTCGACGAATAATTTCAATTTAGAATCAAGAGTATGACTCACCACGGCCATACTTCTTACTATACAATAATTACAGTAAAATGACTCTACTTAATGACATGACTAACCCATATACATCGGGTAGCAATAAAGTTAAACGTTAGCAATCGACTCTAATTTCGATCTAAACTGCATCATAATTATCATTCAAAAAATCATTCAAAAAAATAAATAAATGTACCCAACAACGCCTAGACCGTCGTCATCATAACTTGCCTATGAATCATTTTTATTTCATTTGATCATATTACCACAGGCAGTTCTTTTTTTTTTTTAACCAATTTGAACATGTTTTATGGAATAATTCACGCTCATTGGCATGTGATAATTGGTCGTAGTTTGCAACGTTGATTAAGTTGTCTAACGCTGATTTTCTTCATTCTATACCTAACTAGAAGTTAGAATACGATACTTGACTTCTATCCTTGATCAGATGCAACATCTTACCAAGTAATTGATTTTGTGAACAACATTACTGTACACATTTGAAAAATATCGTATCGCCTTCATCTCTTCCCAAAGACGTCTACGGTACTCTAATTTCCAACATTGGTATAGTTTGAAAATAAAGTAAGAGAGTGATAGCGGACAAATTTGATGCTATTTTATCATCCTAGTTGTAGGCACTTTTATAGACAGAAAGAAAGACATCTATAACACTATTCCACTCCGGTCTGACAATCGCCACACTTTTCCTACGTAGTGAAAATTACATGATCGTTATCATTGCTTTTGAGTTTGTTTCAATACGATAAGAAAAAAGACTCTGATAATAAAACTGTTGTTTTTATTGATCTACTAATCAAGCGATGAGATAAGGGTTGTAATGATTGATCATCAATCACGCCGGTCATTTCCTTTTGTAAATACGCGTACATTTCCTTTTAGACGATAAAAAAGAGGATTTAAAAACCTTTATCATCCTCTATGACTACGTATAGTGCTATACTTTATTCAATGCCTGTACACTGTACAGTAGTCTGTAGTTTTAATTAGGAATAACACTATCTACTGCTCCCTTCCCCCCTCCCCAAAAAGACAAGCGATTACGGCTCAGAGACGGCTACAACAGTCATTTTGTAATTTTCGACTACGTACGCTGTTTGTTTGTTTTTTCATGATCATTGTCGCCGCTTTTAAATGATGTCTAAAAATGTTATGGGCCAATGGATAAAATGGACGATTGTTATTCAAAAGTTCATTGCAGTAAAATCGATGTAAAGTAGAGTAGTAGCTCGTCGGTGATAGTGTACAGTATACTTATACAACAGCGTAAATTGGATTAAATTAATGATATACTGTACATCATCATTTCGTCGACGTAAGTGTTATTCCAATGTACGGTAATAAATATTATAGAGTCACCGTTTTTCATTTTTTTTGTTGTCTGGATTGCACTTAATTGTAAATCACCTGTATAGCGTATAACTTGCACAAGTCGAAGGTAAAACAAAACGTGCATACGATCATTTTCAGGAACGATTTTGATTACATACTCAGCCAATAAAAAGGATCAAGATTTCTTGATTGAAATTAAATACATTACAGTATATTGAAACTGTATTTAACATCTGCGCACCCCATCATGGTCACACCATATAAGGATACGCATTTTAAAGTCCAAATTTTCGCGTATGTCTGTATTGTTATTGTTGATATGTATAGACCAGCACTCCAATGAAGTTAATTATATGCGTATCCTATTCCATACGCTTTAAGAATAAAAATTCCATCTCTCTAATTGAATTACTATTCAATCCTTGAGATTAGATTACCAACATTACAGATTTCCACATTTAGCTTAACGAATGTTGATACAGTTGGATCTTCCGTTACATAAATATGCCCTGCTATTAATTATGACATTGTTTTCTTTATTGAAAATTTAATTTGGATAGACAAAATAACATTGATAAATTACTGTAACTTTCAGCATCATGTCGGTACGAGAGATTAAAATTTTTTTCTAGGTACCTTTTACAATAGGATGAAAAAATTATACAATACCATACCATCCTTTTCTCCTGCATTAACAGAAGTAGACGTTTCAAAAATTGAATGTACTCATATTTATATTGAATTTGAGTAAGAATGATTAACGAGTCGAAATTTTAGCCAACTGCTTTTAGCCGCTATATAGCTTGATTGATTGCATATGGGACAGTCCTGTGCTTATCAAAAAGGTACCATATCTTTAGATAAATATTAGATGTCATTAGACATCTTGTCTACGTCATACCCGACGCATCCAAGTAAATGTACTCACTCAGCAAGATCATCCTTGAAAATCTTTCCTACGATAGTATAAGAAAATTGCATCCCTTCACCTACTCAGCCAACTCGATCACTATTTATACTCGTAATGACTGCAATAATTAGCTAATTAAATTCTACACTCAATACACGCTAAAAGTCGTCTACCTGTAGCAATCTATTTATCAAACAATTTCTGACTACATAGTAGACCTTCAGTGTCGTATAATCCATTTTTTATAAAGCTCCATTTATCATTGAGGCGTTGCACGTTTTTAAAATATCCATGATGTATAACAATACACTAGGGGGTATTTTCCTTTTGTAGTATCTTCCTTATTTCCCTTCTGTCATATAATCCCTGCCGATCTTTCTAAGTCAACCGTAAGTAGTTATTGATTCAACGATCTATCATAATGGTTATGAATAAAATTGCGGATTTCATCAATAATATTAATTTTTCAATGTTTAACTGCATGACCATACTCGTTTTCACTAAAGGAAGATGAAAGTTTTCGCAACTAGACTTGAACTTTTACGCTATGTTACTAACGGAGTATTTTACTGTCGTATAAAACAGCACAGTGTAAGATACAGTATTATTGCAGTGATCTCGAAATAGACTGAAGGATGCCAGCTTATGTGACATCGCAATCGAACATCGGCGCACTGATTTTGTCAAAATACATCATAAACATACGTATAACTTATGGCCTCATGACATCTACAACAGCATACACAGTGGCACATCAGTGATTGTGAGAAAGTATACAATACAGTATGTACATTTATTTTGCCAAAACTTTCAAAATTTTGAATATCCTTTATTGATATGATATTATGAACGTACCTTTGGCAGTGTCAACAGGTGATATAATATGCGGGCATTACATCGACAATGTTTAGCGTACATTTTTATTCCGAAAACTATAGTTTCTTATTTCTAGCTAGACATATAAAAGATGCTAATCTGAGATGTTCTTAAATCTAGTGTCGGACCGTATTCGTAAAACATTTTGAATTGTAATTTTTTGCACATGATGACTTCAAAAGCTTTTAGAGATTACTAGTGATATCACTTAATCTACCGTGCTGAAAAAGGTTATAATACAAATTTAGGATATAGTTACTTGACTTTCAATCTATCGTAAAGCTTATCATTAATTTCTGAAATTATCGAATATAATCTCAGCAGCTATCGGTGTTAAAGTGGACATAATTGCGTACATGTATCAAAAATAAGATTTTAATTGTTTTCTAATGGATATGATTGTTAAAATTAATAGAAAAATACCAAGTGCCAAGCAATCTTTGATTTCGTTGCTGATAAAATTAAATTAAAAGAAAGGGAATATTTTAGTCTTAAATACAAGGATGAATATGAATCTTCGGTGAGTTTAGATGGTGTTAATAATGTCTACTGAATGCGTATTAGCTCCCTTTAACGAAATTTTACACCTACTTGATTTTAAAAATTGAATGATTATATTATCTCTAACGAATAACCATACATATCTTCGGTACCATTCTACCTGTAGGTAAAGTAACTACAATTTATTAATTTACTCCTACCATACATTTAATTTCTTTAGACATGGCTTGATATGAACAAGCGTTTAACGTCTCAAGTTAAAGGTTAGCTATTAAAGTTGCTAGATAGTGAAATAATAATAACTTATTTCTATTTCTATAATAAGATTGAGTATAAAACTTGTTCAGACACCATACATTAAAAGTATGCTTACTAGAAAATTATAGTTATTAATGCTATTTGTTTACAGCTTCACCTCCGTATACTGTACATTTTATGATAAAATTCTACGCAGCCGATCCTTGTTCACTTGAGCAGGAATTAACTAGGTAAACCAAATGTTCTTTATTCGAATAAAAAAAATGACGTAATAGTAGAGTTAGTATTGATCAGTTTTTATGAAATTACAACATAAAAATAAGCTATCTAATTATGTACACATTTGCAGATATTTATTTTTTCAACAAGTAAAAAATGACGCCCAAACGGGACGGTACGTTGAATATTCATACTTTAAAGTAAATATCATATAACGAACAAGGTGAAATAGTATTAATGATGAATGCTTTTTGATTGTTTAGGCTTCCATGTAATTTCGCTGATGTAGCACAATTAGGAGCGTATGTATTGCAAGGTCAGTAAATTATTTTGTACATGTATAGACTGCCGTTCGTATCATATTAGCTGTAAATTTAGTATAAACTTTTATGATTACTTCTTTCAGCTTTACACTAACATTTGCATTAGTACAAGTAATAAGTTTTTACTGCTGTATCACTTTATCGATGCATGTTGTAGCTGAGCTTGGAGATTACAATCCTCAAGTCCACACTGATGGATATGTTTCTGAATTTCGTTTTGTACCAAAACAGGTTAGTAGATCTGTATTTCATTATTATAATATATATGTATAATTACTTGATAACCCGTACTATTTCGTTATAGTCTGAAGAACTTGAAGATCAGGTCATGGAGTATCATAAGACCGTATCGTAAGTGTTATACGTAGCTTATAAGATATATTCTGGATTTTTTAGTTATTCACGTGATGTGTTGAATATCATTTGCAGGGGTTTAGTTCCTCCGGCAGCGGAAATGGCGTATTTAGACTTTGCAAAGTGGTTACCTATGTTTGGAACCGATAAATACCCCGTTAAGGTTATAATTCACTGTCTTTAGCAATCGGTAGAGAGATTGCTTAATAGTGTTTCATCTACGCTTATTAATAGGGAGAACGAGGGATTGATTTCTATCTCGGCCTAAAACCTACAGGCATTATTGTAATTAAGAATGATACTGTAGCTGGGACCTTTATTTGGTAATTTTTTAAGCTTTAGCTAAATTCCTATTTAATTTTAAGTGAGTTAAATTTATTCCTCATATTATTTAAATTTTTACCATACTTATAGGCCAGGTATATCGAAACTCAACTTTAAGAATAACTCATTTTCATTAGCCGTCACTGGCAAAGATGTGCGTAAGAATCTGTTATCCTAACTTATTAATAAAGCCAACTGAGTTTGTATCTTAAGGCCTATGTTTATCAAGTTGGCTGATATGTTGTATCCACTTCTCTTATTCTATAGGACAATGAGAATATATATGAGTTTGAATTGCCCTCAGCGACAGCATGTAAACAGTTTTGGAAAAGATGTATTGACAATCATGCATTCTTTAGGTATGGAATTCGATATATTATACTATAAGAATAAACGTAGAAAGATTTACGTGCGAAGGACGCCGATTAAAATTTTGATGACACATGAAATTTGAACTATTACAGAGCGCAAAAAGCCGCAAAAACACCAGCTGGTGCATATTTCTGGTTATCAAATTGTACTCCAAATCAGAAACATAGGTTTGATACATTACTTATTACATTAATATTTAAGCCGCAGCCGATAGTTTTAAACTAATTAAATTATTCCCTTTACAGTACTTCTACAGAAAAAGAAAATTATCGAAAAATTGCTGAACAGCAATATGAATTTTCTAAAGTAGTTAGGTACGAAGACTGTATAAAAATATTATAAAAATATGTTATAGAATGTTAGATAAGTTTCTGTTGTGATATTAAAATTGAATATTTAATGTAGACTCCCGAGTAAAAGATTTCCTAGGCGAGCCAGCACAGGTTGAATTTTTAACGCTATTTTTTAAACGGTATTGTTTTATAATCATCAGATTATCTATAAAAATAGTATCTTTTTTGTAGACGACTCATTGTTTGGTAGACATTCAAGAGCTAGTTCTATTGCACCTTCTGTGGATAATTCACGTATTCAAGGATCTCGTGGACGGTATGTGACGTAGAGATTGCTGCTTATTATACAAATACCCCTAGCTTATACTTACCTAAACTGGTGCACAGTATATCTAAAATTGTTGCGAAAATAGTTAGAGTTTGTGCATAAGATTAAATTAAAATACAGAGTAGTTGTTTCATATATTTAGAATGATGTATATTGTTAGGGCCGATATCGCTTCGCTATTTAACTTTTAAAGTATACTTTCTACTTTGTGATGCAGGCGGCCTTCCAGTGCTTCTCAGGCTTCAGGTAGTAGTAGTCGTCGATCACCACGTACTAGGAGGCGAAGGCACATTTATGTTGATAGCGGTAGCGAATCGGACACAAGAAGGAGGTAAAATATACTGTAATAACTAATAAATATAATTTCGGTACTTCCTTGAACAGTTTGACTAATCTTAGAAATGAGAGTAAGGTATTCTGTCAATTAAAATATCACATTCGCTGCCAAATAATCGTAGTTATCATAGCCGGATGTCTGATGATGAAGTCATGAGAAGGCGTCGCCGTTCAAGGTATATTTTACAGCATAACAATATTTTGTAGTGAAGTAGTGCGATGTAAAATGAGCTTGGTACATATGCAGTATATTAAATAGCAAGTATTAAAAAACAGATAAAATCTAACCAATATATAGCCGTAGGTCGAATGGTAGATATAGCAGCGATACAGAAGCAACTAATCGACATCGTCGGATTAGAAAGCGGTAAATTATAAAATTCGTCTTATTTAATGTTTACGGTAAAAATATTTTTATATTTTAGCAGTCTAGTTTACATACTGAGACGTAACTCTCTATCCTTCCATGAGCTAGTATATTTATCATCCAATTATCTACTACTATATTAAGATCGCAATCAAGTGAACTAAAAGTTCCAAAAATGATTGATTCAAGACCTCAGTGGAATGAAGTTAAACGTAAACAAAATGAAATGCAACATCAGCCTAGCGAAGATAGTCAGGAGTAAGCACTACAATAACTGATATTTCATTACGATAGGCGATGTATCGCCGCTTACTTTTTTTTGTAAATTAAAGGATTAATATTAATTTACAATTGTAGACCTCATAGGATTGCTACAGATAGAGCATCCTTATTATCCGGTCGAGAAGGTGATGGAGATACACGAAGTGTGGCTTCAGGTCATTCTAGAGGTTCTCGTAGTTCACGCCGGCGTGGTAATCGTGGCCGTGATAGACGCGGTAGTTATGGGCGCGATCGTAGTAAGAATAAAACTCCAGTACATATCGATAAAGAAAATGAAATCTGGATCGATAAAGGCCCTGAAAATGATCAACAAGGTAACAATGACGGACGACGAACAGAAGAAAAAGATTCCTCTAGAGTAGATGGAGGTATTAATGATTCGTATGATGAAAAATCTCGAGGCATGCCGGAATCGCGATCTCGTGGATTTCCACCATCTCCTCCGAGGCGATATCCGCAAACGCAAGATTGGTCTGCTGTTAATGGTCATAGCAACCGTTATCCCTCGGAACATGGAAATGGTACTGTAAGATCGCATGATCGATATGTTCCTGATCGATCGAGGCATGTTAACAGGCGGTCTGATAACGACGGAAATTATAATATGAGACAAGAGCATAGGTATGTCATTACTAGATCTCCTTTTGTTAATAATTGCTTTATTCCTAACTCTTAAATATTGGGTGACACATTTGAAAATGGCTATCGTTTGCTTCGCTGACAAATAAAAATATCTATAAACTCTCAAGGTACACCAGACCACCGGCATCTCCGATGAGGGGCAATACAACGCCTAGTACACCTGGTAGTCAGCCAGTTCCTCCCCCGAGGGCAGTGTAAGTTCAATTAGAATACCTAAAAAAATATCTAGTGGATAGCATTTAATCATTTGCTGAGGCAAATTTCGATACTATATAGACTTCTATGCATTGATATATGATTAAAGAGCGTGGCCGTAAAATTTATAATTACTGGGAAGATTGATATTAAATAGAAAATTGCCACTGTATTGCCATAGGTAATGCTTATTGTACGTACTTAAGAAATTCTATTTCTCCTATGCTGTAGGTCTTTACAAAAGAGGGTTCCTCAAGGACGAGAAAAGCCAATAATGAACGGTAATGGTGGCCCGTCGAGATATCAAGGACAACCGTAAGCCTTATTTTAATGATATTTCTATAATCGTTATGGTTAATGCTTTATTCATTCATAATTTTTTGTAATTGCATAAAATATTGTTTATTCTTTATTATAACGACAGCAATAAATAAATTTACGCGAAGCAGTAAATTAATGATTTGCTATCCTTTCTAGTTATTATGAAGGTTACAATCCAATGTCACGGCCGAATTCAGGGTACAATAATCGTCGCCTATAATCTCTGTAAGTAGTTGAATGAATTATTAATTTATTATATCTAAATAAAAAATAATATTTAGCTTTAATTATACCGATTGATACTTATACAGATGCGAGGCATTGTACTCTAACCAAGTTCTGCAAATACTTCAGAAGTATTACCAAAGGTATTTTTGTTATTTACGAAGCAGGTTTAAGTCGAGCTGACTATAAATTGTTTTGAAAGAATGCTTGAAATGGTGATTTTGCGTCTTTAACGCACTAATTGCGAGTAAACGTAATCCCTTAAATTTCGTTAAGAAATGTCTCTTAAAATTATTTTAAACTGCTGTACAGGATTAAAATAAGATAAACTTGCGTAATTATTAATGTGATGCGCAACGTCTGCAAGGATGTAAATAATGTCGGAATCCTCATTGCGGCGTATGTTATGCCAAGTTTTTATGAGTTATCAATATTGTCTTGTTTCTTTAACACCCAAAGTTATTATTATTGCTAATTTAACAGAAATGCTCTTACCACTGATATTATATTTACTATATCTTATTAACCATATATATAAGAATTTTTTTGTACACGGAGTACTTACTATAGGCTTCATTAATTTGTGATTTTCGTACATTTTAATCGATAGCGAAATCAATGCTTACTATCTAGCTAAAAATCTTGTACAACTAGCTAGAATACTACCATCTATGTGATGATAAGATTGCATATATGGTTGTGCATGCATTCGAATCTTGCGGCGTTCGATTTTGAATTCATTAATATTTTATTTTGTGATATTTTGTGGTACAACTTACAATCTTGCTGTTGTTCATAAAATGTAATCATCAAATTTAACTATACATATTTTTTCGTGATTAAACGCTATATGAGCAGATAATCATTTTTGCTTTTTGGTAATATAAGCATGAAGGATATTTTAAGTGCGCTGCTTTTTAGTGATGCGGTTGATCCCTCGTAGGGTACAGTTGTATTTTCAACAACTGCTAAAGTCTATCAACCTAGAATGTTTATTATAATAATATTATTAAACTTAATTATCGATTATTACTATATATGTAATATATATGTAAGCAAACCAATGATATAAATTGATATTAAAACACCCTTACTTTTAGTATTTATTCTCAGCGTCAATTAATATTTTAAATCCTTTCAGTAGTGCCATTACAGTTTTGTCGCCAAGTAGTTATTAATGTTTACTGAATAGCGACATTTGCGCATGAACTACAATATGAAAGGTACTGTAGTTAGTTTTGGGGGCGGGGTTCTTTTCTTAAAGAGTCTTTACGGAAAATAGATACCATTGCCTATCCAACCCCTTAATGCAGTGG